TCACGTTGCAGTGGGGGAGGTTTAGGTTGGATATTAGGAAAAACTTTTTCACTAGGAGGGTGGTGAAGCACTGGAATGGGTTATCTAGGGTGGTGGTGGAATCTCCTTCCTTAGAGGTTTTTAAGGTCAGGCTTGACAAAGCCCTGGCTGGGATGATTTAGTTGGTAATTGGTCCTGCTTTGAGCAGGGGGTTGGACTAGATGACCTCCTGAGGTCCCTTCCAACCCTGATATTCTATGATTCTAAGGACACCTCAGTTCAAATCTTTGCTTCACATCAGGCCGAGGGGAAATTGATCCTGGGTGAGTGCATGGACAGTTATAAGGTTGCGACCACCTCCTCCATCTGTCTTGTGACTGTAGCCCATTATTTCCTGTACTTTTATTTTAAAGAGTGCCCCAAAATGAAATGAGGCAGAATTTTCAGTTTCAGTTCAGGACAAGCTGATTTCTGTCCCCGAGGTCTTGGAACTGCCAAACCAAACAATAAAATAATTGACTATTCACCCAGCTGTACTCAGCACCTCTGAAAAACTCAGGACACTACACACAGCTCAGTGAATGCAGCCCACAGAGCGAGGGCACAGGTCATTCCCAGAGCCACTACTTCAGAGCCTGCCATATAGCGGTAGGAGAGATGAGGGAGTTGGAAGAAGGAGCAAGAGCAGGTGAAAAGCGAGAAGCTGGCAACATGAGAAGACAAACACTCAGACATCAAGAAATGCCCAAAGTTCAGGAGTGAAAGTTGTTCCAGTAACATTAATGCAGCTGCACAGTGCATCGTCTTTTTAAGCCTATGTTAATAAAGAAGCGTGAGGGACAAACATTTATGTATAACAAGAGAAAGAGGAATGAAAAATACTCCATGTCGCTGAGTTAGCTGCCAAAGTAACTTTCACTTTAGGGATTTCCTTTGTGGCACTTGATCCTGAACCCTTAAGGTTGCATTAGGGTTAGTTTCTTTACATTTAATTTCCTAGATGTGTGCGTGTGTGCGTGAATGCAAATAAAAAAAAAACCAGGGGAGAACTCTGACACCATAAATAAAATCTCTCACTAACTGATGTGTCCAATTTACAAGCTCTGTTGTGTTGTGAATTCCTTGCTTCACAGATGTGCATTTTTCACAGTCTACAAGCTCTCAAGATGTGGGGTTGATCCACATTTTTACTGAATATAATATTAACAGTATCTGCTTGAACAATGGGCAGCACAAAAGATATTGCCCATGTTGCTTGATTCTTTCAGATTGGTGTGACACAGCAGATAAGGTCTATTATCAGATTAGCACTGGTTTCTTTTGTGGTGGGAAAACTCATTCATAGTCTATTTACAGGTAGCTCCATTTTACACTCTTTCACTGTTAAGTAGTTTGAATACAGTAACTACAGCTCATCATTACTTTTATAATAAAAATGTGGCAGGTTTCAAGGCTAGAATAGAGAAACATCCTTTAGGGATGACTCAGGAATAGTTATTAGATCCTGAAACAGGGCAATGGACAAAAGGATCCATTAGAGATGCCTTAAAACCAAACGGAGTCTATGGAATCAAAATTTTAAATTATATTGTTTTCTTTAAAGTGAGATTGACGGACCTTACTAAAAGCCCGCACTCGTTGAAAGTGACTCACTGCACAGCAAGAACAGATAGAATGAAATGCGTGAATGAGCTTTAATAGCCAGTGCTATTAGCTGACAGCACCCACTAGACATGATCTCATAGCAGCTCTTGCGGGAGATTTCTAGAAATGCAGCTTGAACTGTCCCTCGGCCACATGGTGGCACTTCATTCCTAGCAATTCTGCAGTCGTCATATTTCTGTGATCAGCAAAAGAAAAGGGAAATTGAAGTGTTTTTCCTACTTAATCAACAGACATTCTGTGTGTGTGTGTGTGTGTGTGTGTGTGTGTGTGTGTGTGTGTGTGTAGTATAGA